TATTATTCGTGTACCTACTGCCCTACTATATAGATACTGCTTTAGTGCTTTAGTAGGGTTAACTAATTGTTTGGGCAAATGTAAACATTTACAAATGAAATGAAACATTACGCCATCATAACATTAAGATGAMGATTTTTTATTAGAAAATCTCCCATAACTTTATCGTCAGTATCTTTATAGTATATGTATTCTATCATAGTTACCTACCATTTTTTATTGTGTAAAAATATTTTTTTTTTAAGTACCTATTGTATTTACCAATTTTTATATAATTATTATGTTTATAAGTGTCACTAGACGTTAAGTTKTGAATATGCGTTTTTTTTTTACATTTATGATTAGTATTATTATAGTGAGTACCTACGTAAAATTAAAAATAACGCAAAGATATCTATTATGTCTGGATGATTTGCCTCAAAACTACATCTTAACAGTATATTTTGTCAACATTTTAGTAGCTGAGCATTTAATTGCTAATTATTGTTTATATTTATTATTTACCCTTAATACAGTGTTTCTGAATTATACAAATAATTACGTACTATTATTAATAGCTATACATACCTATATAGTACCTAATATTCAAATTATATAGAATCAATTATGTGTAAACCGATTATAATAAAATATATGTTTTGTTGTTCCTATAAAATATTTAATCGCGTTGTGTTGTTATGTTTATAAATAATAATTAATGACCCAGTMTTACGCGTGTCGTTTTGGCATGGCGAATTCGGTTTACAATTTTCCGTTCACTCGCACTCTGCGRCCTCCGTCATCGTTAACAGAATGTGCATAAGATGACGATGATCATAATGCACATATATTATATTAAACTCGACACTCAATAATATACATAATATGTATCATGCGTGTGTATTCCTCTGGTTCTAAATATAAAATTCGAATTCTCCCACTTGTGCGTCACGGAAAAGGCCGTCACGGTGACAAAACAAATACGATAAAAAAAAAAAAATTAATCTTAAAAACTGAAACGTTTTCGTCAGTCGCACTCGCAGTGTGTCCGTTGGACAAATGGACCATCGTCGTCGCCTCGACGCCGCCGCCGTTGCGCAAGTCGTACTATTACAGGTACTCATACTGTTGTCTTCACCGACCACTGTCRTACGAGGTGAGTAAACATCAAATATTAACATATTATTATTATTATTATTATCATGAATTTGTGCACTGGGTAATCAGGGTAGACAGTTGTTGAGTATAGGTATACTCTGTGAACGTTTTTTTTAAGGTGTACAATTATGAAATATTATACTAAGTTAACAGCGTATGTGTTTCAATATAATTTAAATAATTATATTTATTATTATTATTTTAAAATGCATTAATTATTAACGACGTTCGATTTATCAAAAATAAAGGTTCCTACCATTTACCAATTACAAATATAAATTTTAATAATATCGTAAGCTTTAAAATGGGCGTGTTGTTAGTGGTTAGTGATAACTGTCTAAATAGTTAATACCATTCTGCTACAAGTGCCTATCATAATATTATATGTAAATTAAATCATCTGTAATTATTATTTTGTTTTAAGTTTTATGCTCTAATAATATGT